ACAGGCAATAAACCCTGTGTTACTCAAATAAGCCCCCAAATATATGCTGGGTTTGGAGAGGAAGTGTTTTGCTGTTGGCCTGCTCTGTCTGGCAGCCAGCTCAGCTGCATGACTGTTGTTTAGCCAGGACAGCAGATGTGAACAGCACTTTAAGAAGGAGCCCTCCCTGCAAGAGCCACGTCCAGCTCCAGGTCACTCTGACTCACAGGAGACAGCCTGAGAGGGAAGATGTCTCAGCAGCAGGAGGAGCTGTGGGGCTGACCCGGCTTTGCACAGGCACAGGAGAAAGCATTTCCTTGAGTGCACATTGTTTGAAATGAGCCAAAGTCCTGTGAGAATGTGTTGTCACGTGTTGGACCCCAACTAGAAGCCGTTGGGGCATTGTCATTATGTAGAACAAAGATTGTCATTTCAAACAGGTTTTTCATTAAATAAAGTCAAAGTTTGCAGTGTGGTGTGGGGAGTGAACCTCAGAGGCAGCACAGGCAATGGGAAGGGGCATCAAGCACACCAAGTGGTGAGGTTGGGGGCAGGGGTGGTGGATGCTTAGAATCATAGAATCATAGAATCAGCGGGGTTGGAAAGGACCTCTGAGATCATCAAGTCCAACCCTTGATCCACTACCACCACAGTTACCAGACTATGGCACTAAGTGCCACATCCAGTCTCTTCTTAAATACCTCCAGGGATGGAGAATCTACCCCCTCCCTTGGCAGCCCATTCCAATGCCTGATTACCCCCTCTGTAAACAATTTCTTCATAATATCCAGCCTAACCCTCCCCTGGCAGAGCTTGAGACCATGCCCTCTTGTCTTACTGATAGTTGCCTTGAGAAGAGACCAACTCCCACCTGCCTACAACCTCCTTCCAGGGAGTTGTAGGGAGCAATGAGATCCCCCCTGAGCCTTCTCTTCCCCAGGCTCAACAACCCCAGCTCCCTCAGCCTCTCCTCATAGGACTTGTGCTCTTCACAGTCTCTTCACCAGCCTGGTTGCTCTTCTCTGCACCTGCTCCAGCCCCTCCATGTCCTTCCTGAACTGAGGGGCCCAGAGCTGGACACAGCACTCCAGGGGTGGCCTCACCAGCGCTGAGTCCAGGGGCAGAATCACTTCTCTGCTCCTGCTGCCACACTGTTCCTGAGCCAGGCCAGGGTCCCTTGGCCCTCTTGGCCCCCTGGGTACACTCTGGCTCATGTTCAGCCTCCTGTTGATCAGCATCCCCAGCTCCCTTTCTGCCTGGCTGCTCTCCAACCACTCTGCCCAGCCTGTAGCGCTGCAGGGGTTGTTGTGGCCAAAGTGCAGGACCCGGCACTTGGCCTTGTTGAACCTCATCCCCTTGGAGTCAGCCCAACTCTCCAGCCTCTCCAGGTCCCTCTGCAGAGCCCTCCTGCCTTCCAGCTGATCGACACTCCCTCCCAACTTGGTGTCATCTGCAAATTTACTAATGGTGGATTCGATCCCCTCATCTAAATCATTAATAAAGATGTTAAACAGGACTGGGCCCAGCATTGATCCCTGGGGACACCACTGGTGACAGGATCCCAACTGGATGCAGCCCCGTTCACCAGCACTCTCTGGGCCCGGCCCTCCAGCCAGTTCCTGACCCAGCACAGAGTGCCCTGTCCAAGCCCTGGGCTGCAGCTTTTCCAGGAGTATATTATGGGAGACAGTGTCCAAGGCTGTGCTGGAGTCCAGATAGACACATCCACAGCCTTCCCCTCATCCACCAGGTGAGTCACCTGATCATAAAAGGAGATCAGGTTGGTCAGACAGGACCTGCCCTTCCTAAACCCGTGCTGGCTGGCTCTGATCCCTTGTCCATCCAGTAGATGCCGTGTGATTGCACACAGGATGATCTGCTCTGTAACCTTGCCAGGCACCGAGGTCAGGCTGACAGGCCTGGACTTTCCCGGGTCCTCCTTGCAGCCCTTTTTGTAGATCGGTGTGACATTCGCCAACTTCCAATCATCTGGGACCTCCCCAGTGAGCCAGGACTGTTGGGAAATGATGGAGAGCAGCTTGGCGAGCTCTTCTGCCAGCTCCCTGATCACCCCAGGATGGATCCCATCT